AAATATACACCACTAACATTATTTCCAGTACTTAATCCTGTATTAAAGTGATGTTTGATAAGCACTCTGTGGCTACTAACGGGTAAGGGTAAGAAATAATTTTGAGCCTGGGCGCAGTGGTTCACGCTTGTAATCTCAGCACTTTGGGAGGCTCAGGCGGGCGGATCACCTGAGGTCAGGAGTTCGAGACCAGCCTGGCCAACATGGTAAAATCTGGCCTCTACTAAAAATCTAAAAAACAAAATTAGCTGGGCACGGTGGTGTGTGCCTTTAATTCTAGCCACTTGGGAGGCTGAGGCAAGAGAATCGCTTGAACCCAGGAGGTGGAGGTTGCAGTGAGCCGAGATTGTGCCGCTACACTCCAGCCTGGGCAAAAGAGTGAAACTCCATCTTAAAAAACAAAAAAAGCAAGAAAGAAATAATTTCGAGTCCCCATGCATGAATGGCACACTAGATAAATGTCTTACCCTATGTTTGAACACAAATTCACAAAAGAATGACTATCAGGTCATTTTTACCATGTTTGTGACTTTTGATAAAGGTTATGATTTATAAAGAATAAAAATATTTTGATATTTTATTTCTATGATATTTCTGGTCACTTCTACAATACCAAAATATGCAACATAATTCTATCTAAAAAAAATTCAAGTCCAAACTTGACTACAACTTTTGTTATTATGTGTGTGTATATATATGTGTGTGTGTATACATATATATTTACATATATATAAAATAGATAATATACAAGAAGATAATATACAAGAGGCATTTTACTTATATTCTTTAATTCCTAATTAGATAGTGAAGAACTGTTTGGACATTAAATTTCCTGTATTTCGCCCTGATACAATATGAAGTGAATCAATAAAAATAAATACTGAGTTTCCTGGCTTTAAAAGAAATCAGGATGAGCTCAGAAGCAGCCCTAAAAAATAGAAAATTGAAAAGATGATCAGTTCATTCTCTTTTATATCTCTCCTTGTTGTGGTTCATTGTTATAACTGCTGTTTAATGAATATCTAAACTTGCATAATAACTAAGGTATACGCATGGTAAACAGAAAGGTATCATCAGCCATAATTACCTTATTTGCCTAGTAGTGGGCTGCATGTTGTATAACCAGTCTGTAATAATCCTTATTTGGTGATACTCGTTAATTCATTCACTCCACAAATATGTATTCAACTGCTACTCTATCTGCCAGAGCTTGACAGAAATAAGACAAAGCTACTTTTCTCATGAAGTTTTCATTCTAGTGGAAAATACAACAATAAAAAAATAAATACGTAATATAATTTCAAGTAGGTGATTTGAAAATATACAAAAGGGCAAGGGATGAGTGGGTAGAGAGTGGTTGTAAGGCTGTGGTACACTGGGGATGAATTACCTTGAATAACCCTTTGGGAAAGTCAGAGTTAACTCTGTATATATTAACTCTCTATAACCACACAAATTATCCATTTGCTTTTACAGTTGCCTTAAAATTATTTTAATTTCATGAACTTAAATTTCGTCTTTGCTTAAGATTTTGAGTTGTTCAAAGTTAGAGAAGATGTATTTTTTCATCATGCAATATCATCCACAGGGACAATCATAATATTCGCACATGAAAGACACGGTAGATATTTTTGTTGACTTTGAATATTAATTATTGACTAAATATTCATTACTTAGATGAAACTTTTAAAAAATAAAATGCAACTGCAAAGCAAATGTAATGCTGAAATATTTCATATGATCATTGCCTGTCTACATGATCCAGTTCTATATATAACACAGTAAGAGGAAACTGAGATACAGGTGTGAGAAAGCTTCTAAAAGTTAGGATAACTCTTAGCCAAGTCACTGGCTCACATTAGCCTAATGATTCAAATTTTTGCACACCTATGTATTGAGGATGGGTGTGGTGGCTCACGCCTGTAATTCGTGTTTTAGGAAGTCAAGGCAGGAGGATCGCTTGAGGCCAGGAGTTCAGAGCCAGCCTAAGTAACAAAGACAGACCTCCTCTCTACAGATAAAGAGGAAATAAAAAAGTTAGCCAGGCATGGTGGTGTGTGACTGTAGTCCTAGCTACTCGTGAGGATGGGGCAAGAGGATAGCTTGAGCCCAGAAGAGTTCGAGGTTACAGTAAGCTATGGCTGTGCGACTGTACTACAGCCTGGATGACAGAGCAAGATCCTGTTTCAAACAAACAAACAAAACCCCCCAAAGACTGAGTATTGGTATATTTTATACAAGTTCATTCACCAATAGTTGAAACTGCAAATGTTTGCACTGATGTTCATATGGGTTATGGGTAGGTAGTGAGATTTTCTTCACAAAGGAGAAAAGGAAAGGAGGAGGAAAGAAAGACTAAAGAAGACTAGAGCTAATAAATTAAATTATTAATAGCTCTTCTAAAGTATTATAACATTTAGCTTTTGCTACAAATTATATGATGATGCCATTTGTGCAGGGCAGCTTAAGAATAAAGAATATTTTTTCATGGGTCTGTTGGCTGTATGAATGTCTTCTTTTGAGAAATGTCTGTTCATATCCTTTGCCCACTTTTTGATGGGGCTGTTTGTTTTTTTCCTGTAATTTGTTGAGTCTTGGTAGGTTCTGGATATTAGGCCCTTGTTCAGATGAGAGATTGCAAAAATTTCTTTCCCATTCTGTAGGGTTCTGTCTCAGCTCTGATGTGTCCTTTGGCTGTGAGAAGCCTCTTTAGTTTAATGGAGATCCCATTGTCAATTCTTGTTTTTTGCTTGCGTTGCTTTTGGTTGTTTAACGGAAGTCTTTGCCATTGCCTATGTTCCCTGGGAATGGTACAACCTAGGGTTTTCCTCTAGGTTTTTATGGATTTAGGTCTAACATTTAAGTCCTCTAATCCATCTTGAATTATTTTCATAGTAAGAAGTAAGAAAAGGATCCCAGTTTGCATGCTTTCTACTTATGGGCTAGCCAATTTTCCCAGCAGACCATTATTAAAAGTAGGGAATCTTTCCCCGATTTCGTTGTTTCTCTCAGGTTTGGTCAAAGGGATCAGATGTGCTGTAGATGTGGTGTGGTAATTATTTTGAGGACCTCTGTTTCTGTTCCATTGGTCTATGATCTCTGTTTTGGTACAGTGACTTGCGGTTTTGGTTACTGGTAGGCCTTGTAGTATAGTTGAATGTGCAGGGTAGCGTGATGCTGCCCAGCATTGTGCTTTTGACTTAGGGATGGTTCTGGAGATGTGGGCTCTTTTTTGTTCCATAGAACTTTAAAGCAGTTTTTCGCAATTCTGTGAGAGAAAACTCGTTGGTAGGGTGATGGGGATGGCATGAATCTATTAAATAACCTTGGGGGCAGTATGGGCCCATTTCACGATATGGATTCTTCCCTATCCATGAGCATGGATGTTCTTCATTTGTTTGTGTCCTCTTTTATTTCGCACTGGAGCAGTGGTTGAGTTCTTCCTGAAAGAGGGTGCCGTGTTACATTCCCTTGTAAGTTTGGATTTCCTAGGTATTTTATTCTTTGGAAGCGAATAGTGAATGGAAGTTCACTTCATGATTTGGCTTCCTCTGTTTGTTCTGTTAACTGTTATAAGAAGATGCTGTGTGATTTGTGCACATTAATTTATATTTCCTGAGACTTTGCTGAAGTGCTTATTCGAGCTTAAGGAATTTTCTGGGGCTGAGAATCAATGGGGGATTTCTAATTATACAATCATGTCATCTGCAAAGGAGGGACAATTTGACTTCTTCTTTCTCGCTAAAGCTAATACCCTGATTTCTTTCCATTTCTCAAAAGAAGACATTTCCATACAGCCAACAGGAGTCACTGGAAAAGAATTGCTCAGTCATCCACTGCCATCAGAGGAAATGCCAAGCAAAACCACAGATGAGACTACCAATCTCACACCCAGTTAGAATTGGCGATCATATCAAAGAGTCAAGGAAACAACAGGTGCTGGAGAGGATGGGAGAACATAGCGAACACTTTTACCACTGGTTGGTGGGATTTAAACTAGTCGAAAACCATTATGGAAACAGTATCGGCAGATTCCTCACAGGATCTACGAACTAGATTGTTTACCCCATACTGACCCAGCCATCCCAATTACTGGGATATACCCAAAAGGATTATAAACTCATGCTGCTATAAGACCGATGGCACACGTATGTTTATTGCGGCGGCAGCTATTTCACCAATAAGCATAAAGAACTTGGAATCACCCGCAAATGTCCATCGTGACAGACTGGCATTAAGGAAGATGGTGGCACATATAACACCATGGAATACTATGCAGCCATATAAAAAGGATGGAGTTGCTCTTTGAGGGACATGGATGGCAGCTGGAAACCATCATCCCCCTCAGCAAACTAGTCACAAGAACAGAAAACCAAACACCGGCATGTTCTCACTCATGAGGTGGAAACTGAAGCATGAGCTCACTTGGACCTCGGGAAGGGAACATCCCGACACCCGGGGCTATCATGGGGGCGGGGAGTGAGGGAGGGCTAGACGGATTGCCATTGGAGTTAGAGCTGAGTTGTAAGATGATAAGTTGAGTGGGTGCTTGACGAGGTTGATGGGGTGGCAGCCACAGAACAATGGCACAAGTATACATATGTAACAAACCTGCACGTTATGCACATGTACCCTAGAACTTAAAGTATAATAATAATAAAAAATTAAAAAAAAAGAATAAAGAATAGTGTTTTTGTTCAAACATGGATACAGGATAATATAAAGAATGCTAGTGCTTTTATTAAGAAAATAACTGTTTAAAATTCCACTTGGAAGCTATATATGTTTAGTTCAGGATGAAAAGTTCAGAGAAATACAGATCTAATGAGAGTATTAATGGGATATTCTCATCACTGTTTTATCTATTATCCAGAAACTTTTACCTTAGAAGAAAGAATGCTTTATTTCTCTCATATTCAAGGTTTATATTTCCAGGTCCTATGAATTCCATCTGAGATGCTATTGAGTTGATCATTGTTATCTTCTAATTGTGTACCTAGGAACACTGACAATTCCCGTGGTATGTCTGAGCCTAGATCTACTGTCCAGAGTCATGCACCCTTCTTGCCCAGCTCTGCAAGTGGTGATCTGAAGTCTGAGCTGTTTTTCTACAACGAGGCACACATCCTGTCTATTCCTGTAGTCTCTGAGCTAGTTCTGCTTCTGTTTTACAATTTGACCACTTTAAATGGGCCAGATTGCTCTTGGAAAATTTAAAAGAGCTAAATAAAAATGTACATGTATAAAACAGAGTTATTTCAAGTTTCTCACACATGCATTCAATTTTTATTAAACACATACACATACATGTATTTTTAGCAAATATAAGGGTGGTAGTAATATCAAAGTAGAACTAGGAATAGCATTACTGTAGGCAAATTATTGAACTAGGAATTCTGTGTTTGAAGGCTTGATGATTTCATTGAGTTCTGTGTCCTAGAAGCATCTTCATCTGCTCCAAGCCAAGTACTCTGTCTTCATACTTGGGCATGAATACAATTCAAGATAGTCATCAACAAAATGATAGTGGTGCCTTGTCATGTGATAGAAACTATATTGCAATTTTTTGATTCCTGACATAGTATGAATAGTAATATAAACCACAAACTCTGGAAAAATGAACAAAATGCATAATAAGTAAGTAAATTCTTCATTATTGTTGATGGATACATTGAAAAACACAAAAGAGGCTGAAATTAAAGAATCTAAATCTCTGACAGTCATAGACTAAATATTTGCCATTTCAACTATTTGTGAATGGTTGTAAAGAACATATTAATATGTAATTCTGTAAGAAACTTGAATCATGCAGTGAGGGTATGTGAATGACTCACAAGGCTAAGAATGAACTGAACTTTCAAGAGCTTCTCCAGCTAGCCCCTACATTGAAATATAGTGTTAACTTTTTTTTTAACTTAGTAGTTTAATTTTGTGAACTTTTATTTAAAAGACCCCCAAGGAAAGCCAACTGCTAATTCTCTCTTTTTTTTTTTTTTTTGACAGAGTCTTGCTCTGCCACCAGGCTGGAGTGCAGTGGCGTGATCTCGGCTCACTGCAACCTCCACCTCCCTGGTTCAAGCGATTACCCTGTGTCAGGCTCTCGAGTAGCTGGGACTATAGGCGTGCACCACCATGCCTGGCTAATTTTTTGTATTTTAGTATTTGGTATTTCTGGGCCTAAATCTGCTGTCCAGAGTCATACACCCTTCTTGCCCAGCTCTGCAAGTGGTGGTCTGAAGTCTGAGCTGCTTCTTTACAATGATGTACATTTTGTCTATTCCTGTAGTTTCTGAGTTCATTCTAGAGATTGAGTTTCACCATGTTGGCCAGGATGGTCTTGATCTCCTGACCTCATGATCCGTCCTCCTCGGCCTCCCAAAGGGCTGGGAGTACAGGCATGAGCCACTATGCCCTGCCCCAATTGCTAAGTCTTCAGATGTTTTTGTTTTTTGTTTGTTTGTTTTGAGATGGAGTCTTGCACTGTCGCCCAGGCTGGAGTGCAATGACACGATCTCAGCTCACTGCAAGCTCTGCCTCCCAGGTTCAAGACATTCTCCTGCCTCAGTCTCCCAAGCAGCTGGGATTACAGGTGCCCACTACCATGCCCAGCTAATTTTTTTTGTATTTTTAGTAGAGATGGGGTTTCACCATGTTGGTCAGGCTGGTCTTGAACTCGTGACCCTGTGATCTGCCTGCCTTGGCCTCCCAAAGTGCTAGGATTATAGGCGTGAGCCACCGCACCCAGTTGAAATTTTTTTTAAGTGAAACAGTTTTTAAAAGTTGATGGTCTTAGCCAAAAAAGAGAAGTTCTGGATAAATTTGATGGTGACTCAGACAAAAATGAGCATACCATATGTTCTATATGGAAACAAGAAAAAGTGATGTTTGGAAATGTTTTAGCCAGTGCTCAGTTCAGAATTTATGTTAATAGCATTATAAATGACTTTAGTTCTGTTTCTATAGACTCATTAGGGGTCTACAGGGATCATTTAAATATTTCAGTTATACTTTACTGCATTTTATGAGGAAAATTATATATTATAGTGATACTTGGGGATTTCAGAAGGTCTTGGGACATATCCTTCATGAATATCTAAGTCTCAGCACTAGCAGATTTACTTTTCCTCTATAATTTCTCGTTAATTTTTCAGTAATTGGAAAAGTTTGGCTTACTTAGCTTATTATGGAACTCTACTTTTTTTGAAGATGCAGAGTTTTCTTGCAAGTTATTTTAAATTTGACAGTAAAATGCCTAAAAACTTAAGAATTAAGACGCCAGAAGAGCTGCAACTGCTCCAGATGTACAAGTGCTAGCATGGGGTATGGCTGAAGTTATACCCCCTGCTCTTGCTAATTCCTGCTACATAGTCATTGTTCAACTAATCTGTCTACATTAAATAGCAAACAAACAAACAAACAAACAAAACAATAGCAGACATTACAGGATTTGTAACATGCATATTGTGTGGTATGTGACCAAAAGTAGCTTTCAGGCTGGGAGCAAAGACAAAGTCCAAGTAATCAAAGTATTAATAGAAGGTGGTACAGAGTAGGGGCTGCAACTTGCAAAGCATATGAAAAGAATGTTGGCTTTGGATCAACTAAGCCTCTGTTTTCCTGGCTCTGTTAGATAGCAGCTGTATGATAGATGCTGACCACATAGTAGGAGCTCAATAAATTACAATTACAAGATCAGTGTCACAAACTACAGTAGAACTTAGAGGAGAGAATAGTCATTTTGGGTATCAGTGCTCAGTAGAACTATTTACATTTGTCCTTGGAGAACAAATAGACTTGATGAGGCAGGCATTAGAGGGGAATTTGTGCCGCCACCTAAGTATGAACAAAAGAGACATAGGGAACAAGAGAGCCTGGTGCATATTGGGAAAAGCACAGCGTGTAAGTGTGGTACCACGGAGGTTCTGTGTGTGTCGGGGCAGTGGGGAGCAGATCCAAAGAGTAGGTTTTTAAAAAACGACAGAATGCCTGTCACTGTGACAAACTTCTAGAGAAAATATTTCCTGCGTTTTTCATCATGCTTTCCTTTGCAGCCTGCATAGAAAACTTTGCTGTCAGCTTTTGAAGAGGCTGCTTCCTAAATTTAATTAGAAGATGTTTCCTAACAGGGAAGCAGAGCCTCCCCTCTTCTTTCCATGGCTGCAGTTTATCTAATCAAACTAAGCTCATCAAATTCCTGGCTTAGTTGTTCTTCACACTGGCTATGCATCACAATCATTTATGGAGTTAAGTATACACACACACACACAAACGCACAGGATGCCTGGGATCCAGAACTCCTGAAGAATCTCAGGAAAAAGGCAGTCCATGCATCTGTTTAAAAGAGCTTCACAGATTCCAATACTCAGAAATGATTGCAGGAGAACTTTGAGCTCATATCACCTTTCTTAGAAATTCTTTAAAACATGGTGTGAAGGTGGAGCCTGTTTAGATACGATAATGCCCTGTTTCTCCATGGGATCACTGTACATTTTTCCTTGAAACAACTGAATACATCATCATCAGGCATTAATTGTAAAGATGTCAAAACTCAAAAGAGTTCCATTTACCACAGCTCTCTCTAACTTAGTTGGGTCCCCATAGCCCTCTGCGTTACCTTTTCCATTCAGCCAATTCAACAGATAGGTATCAAAATGACTCTAAATTTCTTGCATTTTAAAATAAAATATTGGAAAAAAAATAGCATAGTTGCTGCATTACTTCAAAGAAGTCCACCCGCCTTTTGAAAGCAAAGACAACAGACTCAATTTACTCTTTCATATTTTTTGTCCTTCTGTTCTTCCCCCTCCGTCCCAGTGTTCCAAGGCTACCCAGACCTCCTTCTCCCTTTGACTCTTGTGGGCATTTTCCTTTGCTCAGTGTTTTGTATCCTTGTCCTTCGTGTCTTTCTCTCTCTCTTCAAGTCTCTCTTCAAGGTGACTGGTTTCATATTTTAGTCAGGAAGTTATAAACAGCTTAATAGTTTTTCCTTATAAAGAATACTCATATTTTAAAAGAAAACTGCGAAAAAGCAACAATGTGACAGAGTCTCCATCTCACAGAATGACTCAATAATAGTGCATAATTCAGACACCATGGCACAATAATAGAAAAGATACATTTGAGCAAATAAGCCTTTATGGAGTGCCTCTTGAATTACACGTGGTAGGCTATTCAAAGCCTGACCCAGAACAGGTAAATGCAGCAACAATGAGCCCAAATCAATTTTGAAAGTTTTACAGCAGTTTTTAAAAAATAACTGCAAAGATTATTTAAAGAACTAAGTCCAGTAAAACCACTAGTCATCAAACCTGAGGTGTTGATACCTCATAGGTACTCAGTAAGTGCTTGTAGAATGAATGGATATGCTAACATATTTAAATCATATCAAGGAAAGATGGCTGGGTGTGATGGCTCATGCCTGTGGTCCCAGCACTTTGGGAGGCCGAGGTGGGCAGATCACCCGAGGTCAGAAGTTCAAGACCAGCCTGGCCAACAAGGCAAAACTCTGTCTCTACTGAAAATACAAAAAATTAGCCTGGCGTGGTTATGTGCGCATGTAGTCCCAGGTACTCAGGAGGCTGAGGCAGGAGAGTTGCTTGAACCCAGGAAGCAGAGGTTGCAGTGAGCTGAGATTGCACCACTGCACTCCAGCCTGGGCCACAAGAGTAAAATTCCATCTCAAAACAAACAAAAAAACAAACAAACAAATCATATCAAAGAAAGAGACGTGAACCAGGAGCTGGGAAAGCTGAGTTCTACTTCTGACTTAGGAACAAGATGTGAAAAGGGACCAGCATAGGGTAGAAACTGAAGTGGTCACAGAGATGAGATTGAATGGAAAAATACAATGTTAAAGAGGTTTCAAGGAGAGGCTATAAATAAGGTCAAATTCTGTGCAGTATATGTAAAGGGAGATGACTGTGAAAATGTGACTGGTGACATTTCTGATAGTGTTTTGAGCAGAGTAGGAGAAAAGACAGACAGAAAGAGTTTGGAGAGTGGAAGCAAAGAGTTTTCCGGATGATTGGAAAGGAAGGAATGATGAAAAATTGACAAGTATATTGAGAGGGTGGTAGAATCAAAACAATTTTTATCATGCATGTAGGAGAATGGGAATGGACCGTGAAGAGGGAGAAATGAAAAAACGTAAAAGCTGAAAAGAGAGTAAGATTTTTAAGAAGTTGATGAGGCTCAGAGTAAGCACATAAGTAGGGAAGTTTGTCTTGGAAAGGAGAAGTTCTTCTGTCTGATACTGAGAGATAGATATCTGATACTGAAAGCAGAATGCTGAGTAGAAGTAAATATTCCCAGGTGAGTCGGAGCTGTGGGGAAGCAGAATTCCTCAGGACTCCATCAAACACCTCCTGTTACGCTTCCTGTCCAAACATAAGCTACTCATTTCCCACTCTCCATCCCTCTGCCCTGACCACCACATGCTGGCTCACCTCTGTAGTGTAACACATCCCATTCACCTAGGCCTCCTGAGACAGCCCTCTGATTTCCACTGTTCTAAGGTAGAAGACCTTCAAACGAGATCTTAGCTGACGACTGACTTCCTAGGCCTTTTGCTAAGAAACTACCAAGGCTAAGTTGAAGGCTCATGACTTAACACAATTTT